AGAGGTGAACAACTCAAAAGCTTCAGGAAGTCCCTAAAACCGACCAGATTAACTAGGCTCCTTTCCTAGCCCCCAAGCATATAGAAGCAGGAAGGAATGTTTAAGTCACAGCAAAAGCGACTGAGTTTCCTAGAAAAGGTACTTTCTAGTCTATTGAGCTGCCTGCAGGCTGTGCAGCGGGCTTCAGGATCCCAGTTTTCGTGAGCTGTCATCCATGCTGGAGTGGGCTTTGGTGAGGCAGCTGGATTTGATAAGTAACCCCTCTTCCATATTCTTGCAGATAACCCCAATAAAACTAATTGGTTCACCAAGTTGAACGTAGGTCTGTCATTGGTTCCCTCTCCACTTAGGGTGAGTAGATGTTTTATTCGTGTATTCGTGGGAATAGTCTCACACTACACATACAAAAGACCCAGTCTCTGAGTAAGGGGTGGGCAAGTCTGAGAAGGCCGCAAATTCATTGCTAAGATGGGGAAACGGGTGGAATTGGGCGAGATGAAGGAACTTCTCCCATAGGTCATTTAGAGGTCACAGAAAGAATTTGGCCTATGTTGGGGTGTGGAGTGATGGACCCTGGGGAGAAGTCACGTGGTGGCTTTCCTTTTGGTCCTCTGTTCCTACCACTCAGAGTTCCTCTTTCAGATCCCACTCCCGTTCTTTGTCAGTTACTAGGTCTTACTGTTCATTCATTACCAGGGACAACAGAAGAGTGAGAAACCAGAATGTCAAAAAGGAAAACACGACAACATGACTCACTCAAAGGCACTTCAGGTATTCAGCTTGCCAAAGACCAGTTAATTTGGTGAAGCTAGCTGGGTGTGGTGGTGAAGACCTTTGACCCCAGCACTCCCGAGGCAGAGGCAAGTGGAGCCCTGTGAGTCTGCTCACATGGCTCCCTTGCTGCCTCTATCCTATGCCTTGGTGTAGGCCCGCCATGCTACCACACCACCACCACCCTGCCATCGCATCATTATAGATCATATCAGGGAGACCCTGTCTCGAAAACACAACCAAAAATAGGTGGACAATATGAGGAAGCTGGACACTTCGCTCTGATACCACGCTTAATCTCTGGCAGAGTAATACAGCCTTAAACCTTCGGGGTTTTGTTTTGGCCCCTGCTGCCACCCTTGAGAAATTATTCAAAACTCTCCCAGACGGGAATCTGAGCCTTATACCAGGCAGGTATAAGGATGGGGACTGTTATCTCTCTTTTGATTTTACTTCCAAATTTTGGATGATTCTTCCTAAAAAGGAAATGGTTTGGCTTAAAATTCTGGCATTGTTTTTTTCAGTGTGAAAACTGTAATTCCTGTGTCATTGTAAGTACCCACCGCTCTCTCCTCACTGCCCTCTCCTTATGCTGGTGACAATCTCAACGTCTTCTGACATTTCAACACTTTCCTCTGAAGGTGGAGATTATGAAATCTTATTAACCTCTTTCTTAGCTTGTTTGTTTGTTTTTGCATGTTTTTACAATTTAGGGTTTTAAATTTTTTTTTTTTTTTGGAGACAGGGTGTCAAGTAGTTCAGGCTGGCTGGAACTATGACTCAGGATGACCTTGAACTTCTGGTCCTTTGGTCTCTGCCTCCCAAGTGCAGGGATTATAGTTATGGGTCACTATGTGCAGCTGAACCTCTTTCAAAATGCAAATAGTCTTCAAAAAAAAATAAAAGGCATAGTGGCACATCTCTTTAATCCTAGCATTCAAGAGGCAGAGGCAGATGGATCTCTTAGGACTTTGAGGCCAGATTGGTCTACAGAGTGAGCTCCAGGATAGCCAGGGCTATGGAGAGAAATGGTGTCTCAAAAACAAGTCATAGTAAGTAATGTCCTTTACAGGTGTGTGTGTGTGTGTGTGTGTGTGTGTGTGTGTGTGTGTGTGTGTG